TTTTTTTTTTTTTTTTTTTTTGAGACAGAATCTCACTTTGTATCCCTCTGTAGAATGTGGTAGCGTCACAGCTAACAGCAATCTCAAACTCTTGGGCTCAAGAGATCCTCTTACCTCAGCCTCCCGAATAGCTGGGACCACAGATGCCCACTACGATGTCGTGATATTTTTTCTATTTTTAGTGGAGAAGGGTCTCGCTCTTGCTCAGGCTAGCTTCGAAGTCCTGAGTTCAAGCAATGCACTCGCTTCGGCCTGCCAGAGAGCTGGATTACAGGCGTGAGCCACCGCACTTGGCCTTAACTTCACCTCGGAAGCAAGTTCTAATGGTTTAACTCCTGATGTCGCAAGAGCACTGCGTACAGGGCACGGGGCTGCAGGGACTACCATGAAGACGCCCCACGAAGGGGTGGGCTCCCTGCTGGACAGGGCTCCCCTGCCCGCCTCCCTCCACTCCTGCTGGAGAAGCCCCCAAGGTGAGGAGACAGGTCCGGTCTGCACCCTACTGGTGCACCTCCAGTCTCCATGTCGGAGTCCGAAATTGTGTCCGAACCTTCCTCGGCCTGCGGGACCTCTGCAGGACGTCTGTCCGCCGCTTCCTCTTCCAACTCCTTATTCTCCCCGTACTTCTCGCGGAGACTCCTCACGGTTACGCTCATTTCGCAGTGCTGGACTCCGAGACCCGACAGCGCGTAGCCGCAGCTCAAGCGCTGCCCGGGAATATGGGCGGAGTCTCCAGGTGCACTGACCAATCGAATGTGGCGAACAGCGACTGGCCCCCGCGGCAGGCAATAGCGACGCGCTTCCGCGGGGCGGTCGCTAGGGAAACGCGGTGTGCCGGCTGCAGGAGATACAGCTGAAGGGCGGCGCGCGACCGGCGCCCGCTCCTAGCCAATGTGGACGGGAGCGCGCACGCGCCGGAGGGCGGGGCACAGGGATGAAAGCCTCGAAGGCGTTTGCTCCACCAGCCGCCCCTGAGCCTCCAGCGTCGACCCCATTTCACGGAGTGGGAAACACGGTTGGCCTAGAGCTTGTGCTTTACTCTTCACACATGGGAGCTAGGGAGCGGGAGCCTCTGCAGTCGGGTCTGAGGAACCTCACAGAGCTGGGTCTCAGTCCTCTCCGGAGCCAGAGTCACACTGTCTGGGGCCCTCAGTTCTTTCATGCTCTGGTTTTTACACACGCAGTTCCCTCCACCAGAAACTTACCGTCCCCGTTTTGTCTGTTTGTTGAACTTGACAATCTGCAAGTGTCAGCCAGAGGACGCTTCTTCCTGCAGCTTTCCTTGGCGCCTCCTCTGAGCTCCAGTTGCCCCCAGGTACCCTGTTTGGCCCTTATAACACTGTTATTCCCCACCCCTTAAGGAAGTGAGGCCAGAGGGCAGGGAGTGGGCTGCTTCTGTCCAGGTTCTGGCAGAGTGAATCCGAAGAAGATGGGGGAGTCTGGGCAGCTGGGATTTGGGACTGAGAGCTGGAGGCTGGATCCTCTTCAAGTGGAAGTGAAGTGTCCCTTTAACAGAGGCTGTCCTGACCCCGCCTGAGTGCCCGCTTTGCCTCCTGTTGAGCCGAGGCTGCAGCTGCTGTGCTGACTCATGTGCTCGCAGGCAGCAGGAGCACCGCAGGAGCACCGCGAGCATGGGCTCCTCAGGGGCCGCAGCAGGCTGGGGGCTCCTGGATTACAAGACAGAGAAATATGTGATAACCAGGAATTGGCGGGTGGGCGCCCTGCAGAGACTGCTGCAGTTCGGGATTGTGGCCTATGTGGTGGGGTAAGAGAGAAGAGTTCTTGGCCAAGCTGGCCAGGGTAGTACGACGGTTGGTTTTCCTGGGCTGGGGGTTGAGGGTTTGGCTTGTTGGGAGCTGGACAGGTTGCGAGGGGCAGGTTGGAATGAGGGTAGGAGGTACAGGCACTATTTGAGTCCTGGGTGTCAGCCTGCCTCTTTTCCAGGGCCTTGTCTCTACCCCATGGTGGCCTCTGGGCACAGACCAGGATCATTCCCCCACTCCCTCTCACTCAGGAGGTGCCCTGGTGGGGCAGGAGGCAGTCCTAGACATTTGTGAGAGCTGAGATGCTAAGGCCCCTAAAGAGATCACCACTTTTAACTGGGGGTCAGCAGTCTTTAAGGACGGAGCTTGGCCTAGCAAAGCTGGGGGTGTTGGTTGGTGAAGGTGCTGGGGTGGGCTTCTCTGTCTGAGGGCACTGGGTCTCTGGCTCATGGTGAAGCTTCTGGCCTGTTCCAGGGATTTGGGGTGGGAGCTGAGGCTGGAGAGGAGGCAGGGGCCTCAATGCTGAGCTGGGAGCACTGAAGGTGTGGGGAGATTGCTGAGCATGTAGGGCCCAGCTCTGTCCCTGCTCACTGCATGCTGGGGACACACCGCACTGCCCATCACCTCCTGTCCAGGGGGCTTTCCTTCCCAATAAAGGCTACCCAGGAGCGGGACCTCGAGCCCCAGATTTCTGTCATCACCAAACTCAGTGGGATTTCTGTGATTCAGATCAAGGAGCTTGGGAAGCAGCTGGAGGATATAGCTGACTACGTGAAGCTCTCACATGTGGGGACCCTGGGGCTGCTGCCAGGGCCATGAGTCCTTCACCCACATGATGTTGGCACCACCCTTGCAGCAAGTCAGTGTGAAAGAGAAGCAAGTGATGCTGGGGGCATGAGTCCTTCACCCACATGATGTTGCTCCCTTTCTAAATGCTCAGAAGATGTCTCTTTAGTGTTTAGTTTGTAGACTGCTCTGAAATTTCGCTGGAGCCATGGGTCTGTGATTTCTAGAATTTGTGTGATTCCTCTTTATCTGTGTCTGGACTTCTGTGTCTTTCCACGAATTGGCCAGAGCTGGACAGTAATTCATCAGATCTGACAATCTGGCTCCCTGAGAATAACCAGAGTTTCTACAGGCTCCTCTCAGGATCCTGGTCAGCTAGTCCTTCCCTCACAGGGCACTGTGCTCCTTATAATACCATCTCCTTTAGCAGACACCTGCAGATCCTCCCCTGGCTGTCCCCTGTACTTTCAGGAGTGCCTGCAGGGACAACCCAGCCAAGGTGGCAGGTCCCACAATGGGGGCAGGCTGCAGCTGGGGAAGCCAGGGAGGCCCTTGAGCAATATCCTAAAGAATGAGGGGAAGCAGGTGAACAGGTGGGTTTGGCTGGAGCAGGATGTCCAGGAGGAGGTGCATGGGAGGTACCTCTGGGGTTATCTGCCACTGAGCGGGGGCTGTAGCACAGATTTAGACTGGGGCAGGAATGGAGTGGCTCAACACCTTGGGGCCCTATGAGCCCTGCTAAGGAACTGAACTTGATGATATGAGCAGAGGAAGCCACAGGTGGGCGCAGAGAAGGATGTCAATTTCTTCCACATTGGGATGGAGCACTTGGGCTCTCTGGGGAGGTAGATGAGGGCAGAGGCAGAAGTGGGGGCCTCATTTGGTGATCACCATGGGGTCTGGTTGGAGGAGACAGTGGCCCCACTCAGGGTGAAGGAGAGAGCCAGACTCAGGACACAGGTAGGGACAGCTGCCCCCTGCTCTCTGCCCTCTGCCCACACATCACAGTCCCATTCCCACGAAGCACCACCCTTGCATTCTGGCATCTTGGAGAACCTCAGTCTTTCCTGCCACACTGGTGCTATGTTCCAAGCTATGCGCCCTGGACAGCAGCAGCCATCTTCAACCTGGGTAGGACTGGGTCTGTGAGATTTCCTGGCACTTGTGGTGCCTTCCCCTCCTGGCAGACCCCCCTAACTCTGTGACTCTGTCCCAGCATTAGTGTCCCTGACTTAAAGCAGTGCAAGCATGGAGAGAGTGGCTAGGAGTCTCTCATCAAGAGTGTGGTGTCCTGCTTCTCCACCTGGGCCCAGGGACTGCAGGGTCCTCCTGCTCTCTGTCAACCAGACCTGCCACCTCCATCAGGCACACCGAGCACCATGAACTTAGTCTTCCAAGGGCCTTTCCCCTTCCCTGTTCTGTCGTCCAAATTGGACCAGATGAGCTGGACCTCAAATAATCACTTCCGTGCCCATCATGGACAGAACTTTCAAGAGGGGTCTAAGGTGGGTGGGTCATGTTCTTGCTGCCTGTTGCTGAGGAGAGACCCCCCGACCCGGGGGCATTGGTGACTGCCCTCTTGCCCTCCTCAGCACCCGTCTATCCCGCTGGCTAACTGCTGGGCCGACGAGGACTGCCCTGAAGGGGAGACAGGCACACACAGCCACGGTAACATAAACAGTGAGCTCTGTCTGCCAGGGCAGGGCTGGGCTGGGACCCTGGGTGGCTCTTGAGTGTGCCCCACTGTACCTCTGTCCCTGCACCTCTCTGTTCTGCCAGCACCCCTGGCTCTCCCCAGGCCCCATGGCGACTTGAAGGCCTGGAGTTCATCTTGTGTTTTCAAGGCATAAAAACAGACCGGTGTGTGGCGTTCAATGGGAACCATAAGACCTGTGAGATCTGGACTTGGTGCCCGGTGGAGAGTGGCACAGTGCCCACGTAAGCATCCACTCCACCCCCAGAGCAGGACCTCAGGCCTGGCAGAGGTCATCATCTCCCCTCCCCCCACAACCAGGAAGTCCCTGTTCATTCAGGCCCAGAACTTCAGACTATTCATCAAAAACAGTGTCATCTTCAGCAAGTTCAACTTCTTCAATTAAGCAGGAGCAGGGACCAGCTGGCCCCAGACCTTTCCTGTCCCCTGCCATGTCTGACATCAGTGGCCTGGCTCCTCCTAGGTTTGCTTGGACATCCTCATCACTGGACAGGTAAGGGTCTCTCTGGGGTTGGTGGAGGCATGTGGGCCAACACATGTGGCCTGAAATGTTCAGCTCTGATCTCTGTTAGGTAGGGAAGTTTGGGCTCATCCCTACCGCCATCACTCTGGGCACCGGGGCAGCTTGGCTGGGTACAGTGAGTCTGAGTACCAGGGGCTCCCTTAGGCTCCCCTTCTCTGCACTGCCTTCCGGATCTCAAGTAGAACTTCACCAGGATTGGGCCAGGGGTTGTAAGGGTGAAGGCCACCCTCAAACTCCCAAACAGAGGGTACCTCCTGACTCCACCTCTGGTGGGATACTGTCTGGGAGCCACAGGAGCCGGTTTTGTTTGAAGCCCTGCAGGGAA